AGCAACTTTATTCGTAGTAGCCCTAAGCTAGGAGCAACCTAATCCAATAAGAGAATGAATAAACGAATTTTGCTATATTCATACAGTGAAATACTATGTAGCAATAAAAAAGAATTATATATTAATACAGGCAACAACGTGAAGGAAGCTCAACATTATGTTGAGCTTAAGAAGCAAGCCACAGGGGTGCCTAGGGAGCTCAGTCAGTTGAGTATCTGACTCTTGATTTCAGCTTTGATCATGATCTCATGGTTGGTGAGACCGAGTCCCTCGTTGGGCTCTGCACTCAGCTCAGAGTCTGCTTAGGATTCTCTCTCTCCTCTTCCTCTGCCCTCCCCATGCTCTGCCGCGCACTCACGCTCACTCTTATAAATGAATAAATAAAGTCTTAAAAAAATAAGTTAGCCACAAAAGAGTAGCATACTTTATGATTCCATTTATATGAGGCTAAACATAGGCAAAACTGATCTGTGGTCATAGAACTGAGAATAATGGTTATCTCCGGGTATGTAAAGATGTTGGTTTGAAGGAAAGGAAAAGTGAATTGGAGGAAATCAGAGAAGACAAACCATGAGAGACTGTGGACTTTGAAAAACAAACTGAATGTTTTAGAGGGGAGAGGGGTGGGGGGATGGGTGAGTCTGGTGGTGGGTATTAAGGAGGGCACGTATTGCCTGGAGCACTGGGTGTGGTACATAAACAATGAATTTTGGAACACTGAAAAAAAAGATGTTAGTTTGACTAGAAAGGGCACTAGGAACTTTTTGGGGTAATGATTACATGGGTATATGCAAATGTAAAAATTTATCAAGCTTTACACATAAGACGTGCATTTTAGTATATGTAAATTATGCCTCCATTAAAAAAAAACTATTGGTTCCTAAATTAGTGTTATACCTCTGAAAAATTCATATCAAACCCATATGCCAGAGACAGCAGTTTGGGATTTGTTAGTTTAAGCCTTAGTTACAAGAAGTTAACATTTGTAAACATCTCATAGAAAGCATAGAGCAGCAACTCCAGAAAGAAAAACACATCTGTTTCATTCAGGCCCATTGTGACTTCCATGTGTCCCAGAGGCAATATTTGTCTCTAATAAAATAACTTAATTTCTTATATTCAAATTCTAACAGGCAGTTTTCTCTTTCTTCTCTCTTCCTCTTCCTTAGTAGCACATAATACAGCCTAATCATGGATTCTGGTTTTCATTTCTAATTTTCTGTGACCCATAACCCAACTTGACTTTATCTACTTGATCTGATACAGTTAGCCCCTAGTTACTATGTGTACGCCCCAGTGCTATACATCCCGAGGTGTAAATATAGCCCCTGACCTCAAGAATCGTTGAGGCAGAGAAGTCCATGATAACAACAGTAGTAATAATTATAATAGGAAACATGGTTTGAATACTGACTTTAGGTTAGGCAGTATCCAAAGGGCTTTACAATGAATTACCTCATCTAGTATCACAACAACCCTAAGAGGCAGTGCAAGATGTCAGGGTAAGACTGACATCTTTTGTATGAGGACAGAGATGAAGAACCTCTCTATTATCTCAAGCATTTCAACTCCAGCCCAACCTGCGATCCTCACTGCAGCAAAATAAAGCTGGATAACGGAACTCATTCTTTTTTTTTTTTTTTCCCCTGAACTCATTCTTTTTAGAGGTAATCTGCTGTACCTGCACCTGTCTCTTGGAGATCTTACCAGACCCCCCAACCACCACACACACACCCCATAATGTTCTCCTTGAAAAAAGTTAGGGTAAATGTAAGAGGTTTTTTTTTTTTTCCTTTTTGTAAAATAGTACCCTTATAAATTGGCACCTTTAATAACTGCCTGTCTGACCACCATGTTCAGTTTTGAGGTAGTTGCTGTCTTTAATCCCTGTTTTACTGGTGAGAAAACTGAGGGTCAGGCAAGTTGAATAATGTGCTTTGTTTGTTTGGAACTGCTGTGTAACAAATTAATACCAATTTACTGGTTTACTACACACAGACATTTATTATCTCACAGTTTCTGTGGGTCATGAGTCAGGCACAGGTTAGTTGGGGCCTCTGCTCAGGGTCATAGAAAACTACAGTCAAGGTGACAGTTGGGCTGTGTTCTAATCTGGAGCTCTATGTCCCCTTCCAAACTAACGTTCGCAGAATTTAGTTCTTGCATCTGCATGACAGATGTACCATTTTTGCATCTTTTTGCTGGCTGTTAGGTGGAAATTGCCTTCTGCTCCAGAAATCATTGCCACATGACCCCTTTCATTGGTCCTCCCACAACAAGTTAGCTTATTTCTTCAAGCCCACTCTCTGACATTAGGGAGGGCACCAGACCATTTTTTAAAGGACTCCTTAATTAGGTCTGGCCCATATAAGGTAATCTCCTTTTTGTTAATTCAAAATCAGCTGAAGAGGGGGAGCCTTAGTTAAATCTGTAACATCCCTTTGGCCATTTACTGTAGCATAATAATGGGATTCATATCTCATCATGTTCACAAAGTCTACCCACACTCAAGGGGAGGAGATAATATAAGAGGTCAGGAATCTTGGGGACCGTCTTAGAATCCTGCCTACCAACATGCACAGTCACCTATCAGGTAACTGGCAAAGCAGTATTCTCTTTAAGCAGAGTATGCATCAAAATCATTATGTTGAACTGCCTCAAAAACAAAAAAAGTTAACTACCAAAAAAAATTTTAATATTCTGTATACCTGACATTTATGAATAATTTAATAATTAGTACCATTAACAGAAGTATCAGCTATGTCAATACCTAAAAATGCACATATGTAAGGAACAAAAATAAGATGATAAAATAATACATACGTGCCATTGTTACGTTGCTAATACATGAATTAGGAAATATATGATAATGTTAAATAGCTGATTTAAGTTTCCGGACCTTTAAAAAATTTACCTGTCGTTTTTAAAATATAATGATTCTCTAAAAAGATAGCTTACCATACAAAATAGCAGATGATAAATGTTAAATATTGTTTTGACAGTAAGTGCTACAGAAGTTCAGAGTAGGGGAGATTAATGTGGACTAGAATTTCCCTTTAGTTGTAAAATAAGGTTAATTTTTTTATGAGATAGTTTATCATGAATTTTGCCCTAGGACTAGTTTCTTTTCTGGAGCTTGCAACCCATTCAGTGTCATCTGCTCAGTGTAAAGGATTACGTGGCCCAGAAGTGGTGGCTCATTCTCAGTTGAATAGAACTCCTTTGGTATTGCTGTAGAAACTCAAAATCTTCCAAGTCATTGTAATATCAGAAGATAGGAAACATGGTGTTCCTATGTATCTGTTGACGCTTTTTTTTTTTTTAAGATTTTATTTATTTATTTCACAGAGATCACAACTAGGCAGAGAGGCAGCCAGAGAGAGAGTGGGAAGCAGGCTCCCTGCTGAGCAGAGAGCCTGATGTGGGGCTCGATCCCAGGACCCTGGGACCATAACCTGAGCCAAAGGCAGAGGCTTTAACCCACTGAGCCACCCAGATGCCCCTGTTGATGCTTTTTACCAGTCAGTTCATCATTTTCAACTATTGCAAAGTTAATTGGCAGGATTTTTTTCTGCCTTCTGCTGGGGGTCGCAATTATTCATTTATTCTATGTCTCCAGAATAAGATAAGCATCTCAACTATTTATGAGTTCTAATTTTAAAAAGAGGTTTTGGGGGGCGCCTGGGATCTCGGGGTCCTGGGATCGAGCCCCGCATCGGGCTCTCTGCTCAGTGGGGAGCCTGCTTCCCTCTCTCTCTGCCTGCCTCTCTGCCTACTTGTGATCTCTGTCAAATAAATAAATGAAATCTTAAAAAAAAAAAAAAAAGAGGTTGTGGTAGACTGAATAATGCCCCCCCTCCAAATATACCCATGTCCTAATTCCTGGAACCCATGAATGTCTCTTTATATGATACAAGGGATTCTATATGACAAGAGACTTTATAGATGTGATTAAGTTAATGATCTTGAGATTAGGAAAGTATCCAGGATTACCTGGGTGAGCCCCATGTTATCAACAGTCCTATAAGAGGGACAAAGGAGGAATCAGATGCCCCACGATACAGATCAGTGGTTCTCAAAGTATGATCCCAGGCGAACAGCATCAGTATCATCTGGCAACTGGCTAAAAACGCAGCTTCTCCAGCTCTGCTCCAGACTTCCCGAATGCGAAACTCTAGGGATGAAGCCCAGCAGTTCACATTTAACAGTTCCTCCAGGTGATTCTGATACATGCTAATGTTTGAGAATCACTGGTATAAACTAAGTTTTGGTCTCTCTGATAGAACAGGCCTGAGGCTAAAATACTGGGAAAGCTCACTCTATTGGCCTGCCAAAGGTAATTTGCAACTACTTCCTTCCTGCATGAGTTGTATCAGGCTATAATCACTTGGACAGCTTAATTGAAAAATCACTTATGTTTATATGTTTTGTATTTAAATAACTGCCTTTGATTAGAATCATATTTTGGGGGAAGTGCTTCATTTTATTTGTGTGCTATAAATATATTCATAAAAACTAGTCAAATTTCTAGCGGTGACTAACATCCTATTCAGTATAAGATGAAATGTTTTACATCAAATTTCACTGTGTGTAATGGACAGAGGGCATTAGAAGGGGTATTTAAGGTGGCTGAGTAGATTTCTTGGCTTAGTATTTGAAAGTAAACATTTTAAGACATTAACATTTAATTTTTTTGCCTCTTCTCAAAGTTGATTTTATGCAACCCTCATCATTTGCAACTCCTGTTGTCTTGCTTAAGCAGCAAATAGCAACACTTTCTTTTTCTCATTCTTATGGATTTACTGAAATATAGATTGTTTGAAAATGGTTTTAGCTTTGTGGTGCATGTCTGTTCAGCTGTGTGAATATGATCATTTTTTATTTAAGAAGACAAAACAACAACTCTGTTTTGGTAAACATATATCATTGATTTCTGAAAAGCCAAAAGAACCCATTTCACTGTGCTCTTATCTGACAAATGATCTTTCGGTTCCTTTTAGGCATCCAATAGGAAAAGCACTCTTCGGTCTTCAGCTATGGAACTAGATGGTTCCTACTTGAGTGTAGCCAAATCACAAACCTGCTATCAAACCAAGCAGAGGCCTAAGTCTACAAACCAGGAGTTTAGGAATAATTCTTTGAAACCAGCAGACTTTCATTATCCTGAAACAGACCTAGACAGGGTGCCATCAGAGACCAGAACATGTGATTATGGATCCCCAGGGAGAAAACTAGCAAATGCAGTCCCTACAGAGAAGGTTCCACCAGCGGAATTGAAGATAAAAGAATGCCAAACCCTGAAGCCTATTCCATCCAGTCAGTGTTGTGGTCATAGACTTTCTGAAAACGCAGATCCTATTCCTGAAAGCCATCCTACACACATGGCCCCTCAATATTCCAGAGCACATCTGGAATCATGCAGTTATTGTGGGCTTTCCTGGACATCCCGGATGCATGGTCAAGGGACACAGCAGTCTAGTGAAACTGATGTCAAAAAGCAACTCTCAGAAAATAGAAGGCACCAACTTATGCTTCAGAAAATGGAGCTGGAAATTGAAAAAGAGCGCCTTCAGCATCTGCTGACCCAGCAGGAGACAAAGCTTCTCCTAAAACAGCAGCAGCTTCATCAGTCTCGACTGGATTATAATTGGTAAGTCTTGCTTATTCTTTCAGCAATGTGTATAGCTTGGAAAACATGGTATAAAGTTACTATTGTGCTACTGTAACACTTGCGAAGGAACAGAGGTTTCTCGGGGGCTTGGCTTGCTCAAGATGTATACTTACTAGGACAACTAAATACCTACCTGCTTTGGAGACTTGGAAGATTACCTTGTCTTCCAAAATGTTAGCTTAGAATATCTACTTCTTAGTGGTCCATTGTCATTTTTACTGGATGCCAAAGAGAATATTTTTTTTTAAAGATATGATTGTATAAAAACCCTTTGCTGTTTGTGGTCATTAATAGAGAATATTGGGCATTAAGTAAAAAATTGAGACTTCAGGATATGGAATCAAATTGTGAAACAGAGTGATTAACTATTACCATTCCATATTTATGTCTATCCACCATAATATAAAATATAACAAATGATAGGAACCTTTTCAGCGTTTTCTCATCATGAAGCATAACCTATTTGATTACCAATTCTTATAACTTTACCCACATTTAAACTCTTCCTCCCTTAAGGATTCTTCCCTAAGAACAATGTTTCAAAAACTAAATTGGTATTTTGAGATTATATAGCTCAGCGTAGTTTTCCCTACAGCATCATAAAGTTTGCCAACTTAATTTATTCAAGCAAAATTATTAATAAACAGACATAGTTATATTTTAAACATAATGCTTTATTATGTTATTATGTTATTTAACATATTTGACATATTCCACCAGTGGAGTTAAAGACAAAAGAATGTTAAAATAACATATTTTAAACATGATTTGTCATTTATGTCTTTAAAAAATAAATTACAAGTTGTCATAAGGAAGAGCTTGTATAAGTATAGATAGATAGATAGATAGATAATATAGATAGATAGATATGAGATATATATAGATATATAGATATGGAGAAATATATATCCCTGTCATTTCCTTCTTGATCAAACTATTTCCCCATTTGTACACACTCTACATCCTATATAGACACACTTAGTATGAATGTCATTTTCTTTTACTTCTTAATTTTCTCTCACTTAAAAATTCTGCCTAATATTTTTTAGATTCTAATTTCTTTGAGAGCTCATCTTGACATTTTTCCGTTGGTGTAATACTTTCTTGGAACCAGAAATGCTCTTCCTCTTTCTCTTCATTCGTGGTCAGACAGTTCTACTCTTCATTGTCAAAAGCTGGAGGCTTTTAATGTAACTGAAAATGTAGGCTCTTATAACAAGATTGTCACCAAACGCCCAAGGTTGCTTCAGTTTTATGACCCCAGTCTCTAATCCTCCAGTTAATGTGTAGTCTCTCCTAAGAATGTTATTTAACAAACATTATGGAATGCCTGTGATATGTGAGAAATGGTTCTAGGCACTTAGGATAGAAAAATGAATCAAATGTGGTCTTTAAAGAGGGCACAGTCCAGCAGGGGAGAATGGATAATTTTAGAATAGGTTTCATGTTCATCTGAACATCATTATTTATTAAAATAATGCTGCATAACGACAATAAAGTCTTTATTGTTCTCTTGATCATCCTAGCTTAGATGAGAAAGCTGTGAAACAATTTTTGAGCATGTCTTATTTACGTATAAATTGCAAAAGTTTATACATATTTATAGAGCTCTTACAAAGTTTTTATTTTGAAATAATTAGGGATTGACAGGAAGTTGTGAAAATAGTAGAGGTTCCCCTCCAGTTTCTCCCAATGGCTATGTCTTACATAATTATAATGCAGTGTCAAAATGAGTAAATTAACATTGGTACAATGTGTGTGTCTAGCTCTGTGCCATTTTATCACATGTGTAGACTTGCATAACCACCACAGCAGTCAAAATATAGAATTATTTCATTGCTATCAAGATTTCCTTTTTACTACCCTATTTGAGCTGCCCCAACCCTTTTCTGCCCCCACTAACCCTTGGAACCCACTAATCTGTTGTTTATATCTATAATTTAGGCATTTCGAGAATGTTATATAAATGAAATCATACAGTGTGTGAACTTTTGATATTGGCCTTTTTCACTCAGTATGATGTTCTTAAGATCCTTCTAGGTTGTTACATATACTGTACCTTTGATTGCAGAGTCATAGTCCATGGTATGCTTATACCATGATCTGTTTAACCATTTATCTATTGAAGGACAACTTGGTTTTTTGGCCTGTTACAAATAAAGCAGCTATGTACATTTTTATACAAGTTTCCATGTGGAAACTTGTATAAAAGATTCTCACTTTTACAAATTAAAGCTAGCACTGTGATTGCTAGATCATATGATAAGTGTATATTTGGTTTTAAAAAGACTAAATCTACCTTTAGCTTATATATTTATTATATCATACTTCTTCACCAGCAATGTATCAGCATTTGGAATGGTCACAAATTTTTTATTTTGCCTGTTCTAATCTGTATATAATGATATTTTGTTGTGGTCTTAATTTGCATTTCTCAAATGATAATGATACTGAAAATCTTTTCATTTGCTTGTTTGCCCTTCTTCCATCTTTTTGGGTAAATTGTCTCTTTTGTCTTCATTCTTATTGGATTGCTTAAGGTTTGGTTTTTTTTTTTTTTTACTGTTGAATTTTGAGAGCTTTTTATATATTCTAGATATGTCCTTTTTCAGATATGTGGATTGCAAATATTTTCTCCTATTCTGTAGCTTATTCGTTTAATCTATTAACAGGATCTTTCACATAACAAAAGGTATTAATTTTGATGAAGTTTAACTTATCAGTTTTTCTTGTAGATTATATAAAGTTTGTATCATGAATGTTGAATTTTCTCAAATCTTTTTTATGCATCAATTGCATAAAAAATCATGTTTTTTTTTAATTTTGCCTGCTAATATAGCAGATTACATTTATTGATTTTTAAATACTGCCCTAGTGTTGTATCCCTGGAAAATAAGCTCCATTTGATTACAGTATAAAATACTTTTTATGTATTACCAAATTCCATTTACTAGTATTTTGTTTAGGGCATTTGCATCAATATTGGTGAGAGATTTTGGTCTGTTTTTTTGGTACTATCTGTGTCTAATTTTGTTATCAAGGTAATACTGGTCTCATTTATTTCATTCATTTCTCTTATTATTTTCTTCCTTGTGCTTGCTTTGGATTTATCTTGCTCTCCTATTTTTAAGTTTCTTAAGGTGGGAGCTTAGATTACTGATTAGAAACTTATTTTCTGGTGGAAGCATTTACTGCTCTACATTTCTGTCTCAGCACTGAAGTAGGTCTCACAAGTTTTGGTATGTTCGTGTGTTCACTTAGTATAATGTTCTTCTAGGTTCATCCATTGTGTTGCAACTGACTGGATATTCTTTTTCATGACTGAATTTTACATATGTGTGTATATATGTTATGTTATATTATGTTAATTATTTATTACATATATAACATATTATAGATATATCTTTTTTAGCCATTTGTTGACAGACACTTAGGTTGTTTTCATTACAAGTAACACTGCAATGAACATGGGAGTAAAGCCATCTCTTCAAGATACTAACTTCATTTCCTTTAAATAGATATCCAAAAGTAAGATTGCTGGATCTTACAGTTGTTCTATTTCTAGTTTTCTTGAGAAATCTTCACACTGCTTTTTAATAGTGGCTGTACTAACTTACATTCCCACTAACAGTGTATAGGGATTCCTTTTCTCCATATCCCGCCCAACGTTTATCTTTTTTTCTTTTTGATCAAAGCCAGCCTAACAGGTGTGAGGCAATATCTCATTGTAGTTTTGATTTGTATTTCCCTAACAGTTAGTGATGTTGAGCATCTTTTCATGTACCTGTTAGTCACTTGTTTGTCTTCTTTGGAAAAATGTCTTTTCAGTGCCTCTTCCCATTTTTCGATTGAGTGGTTTGGTTTTTTGTTGATGAGTTGTGTAAGTTCCTTGTATATTTTGAGTATTAACCCCTAATTACCCTAATCATACATATAATTAATGCCATATCATATATATAATTTCCAAATATTTTCTCTCATTCCATAGGTTGCCTTTTCACTTTTATTATTTATTTGCTGTGCAGAAGCCTTTTATCTTGATGTGGTCCCACTTATTTTTGCTATTGTTGCCTGAGCTTTTGGTGTCAAATCCAAAAAATCATTGCCAAGACCAATGTCAAGGAGCTTATTCCCTGTTTTCTTCCAGTAGTTTTACAGTTTCAGGTCTTAAATTTAAGTCTTTAATCCAGTTAAGGTTAATTTCTTATTCTAAGTGTTTTGTTGTTTTTGATTCATTTGTAAGTGTATAGAAATGCAACTGATTTTTGTATGTTGATTTTGTATCCTGCAAATTTAGTGAATTCATTCATTAGTTCTAACAGTTCTTTGGTGGCATCTTCATTGTTTTTTCTAGATAAGATTGTGTCACCTGCAAACAGATGATTTTACTTTTCTTTCTTATTGGGATGTCTTTTATTTCTTTTTCTTGCCTAATTACTCTGGTTGGTACTTCCAATATTATGTTGAATAAAAGTGGGAAGAATAGATATCCTTGTCTTGTTCCTCATCTTACAGAAAAGTTTTCAACCTTTTACCATTGAATATGATATTAGTAGTGAGCTTGTGATATATGGCCCTTGATTATGTTGAGGTATGTTCTTCCTAAGTTCTGGAGAGCTTTATCATGAAAGGATGTTAAATTGTGCTAAATGCTCTTCCTGCATTTATTGAAATGATCCATGATTTTTAATCCTTTATTCTATTAATGTGGTAAAATCCATTTGATAGTATTTTGTTGAGAATTTATTTCATCTATATTCATTAGCGATATTGACTATTTTTTTTTTCTTTGTAGTGTCCTTAACTAGCTTTGGTATTAGGCTAATGCTGCCTTATAGAATGAGTTTGGGAGTGTTCCTTCCTATTAAATTTTTTGGAAGAATTTTATTTTATTTTTAAAGATTTATTTATTTTACTTTAGAGAGAGAGAAAGTGGGTATGGGGGACTGAGGGAGAGGGGGAGGGAAAGAGAATCCTTAAGCAGACTCTGGTGCATTCAGAGCCCCACGTAGGACTCTGTCTCACAACCCTGAGATCATGACCTGAGCCGAGAAACCAAGAGTCAGACACTTAACTGACTGCACTACCCAGATGCCCCTGGAAGAATTTTAGAAGGATTTGCATTAATTCTTCTTAAAATGCTTAGTAGAATTCACCAATTAAACTCTTCAGCCCTGGATTTTTCTTTGTTGGAAGGTTTTTGGTCACTTAATCTCCTTAGTCATTTTTGGTCTGTTAAGATTTTCTGTTTTATTATTTAGTCTTGGTAGGTTGTATATTCCTAGGAATTTATCATTTATTCTAGGCTATTCAATATTTTGGCGTGCAACTGTTTATAGTAGACTCATGATCCTTTGTAATTCTGTGCTGTCAGTTATAATTTCTTCTCTTTCATTTCTGATTTAAATATTTGAGTCCTCTCTCTTTTTCTTCTTAGTTTATCTAAAAGTTTGTTAATTTTGTTCTCTCAGAAAACCAGCTTTTAGTTTCAGTAACCCTTTCTGTTATTTTTCTGGTCTCTATTTCTGCTCTGGTCATTATTATTATCTTCCTTCAACTAACTTTGGCCTTAGTTTGGTTTTCTTCTTATGGTTCCGTGAGGTGTAAATGTAGGTTATTTATTGGTGATCTTTCTTTTTTCTTAATGTAGACATTAACACTATAAACTTCCTTCTTAGAACTGTTTTTGCTGTATTCCATAAGTTTTAGTACATTGTGTTTCTATTTCCATTTGTTTCAAGATGTTTTTTGGTTTCCCTACTGATTTCTTCTTTCACTCATCGATTGTTCAGGAGTGTATTGTTTAATTTCCACTTATGTGTGAATTTTCCAACTTTCCTCCTGTTACTTACGGACTTCTAGTTTTATCCCATCATGTTTGGAAAAGGTATTATTTCAGTCTTTTTAAATTTGTTAAGAGTTGTTTTGTGACCTAACGTGATCGATCCTGGAAAATGTTGTATTTATACCTGAAAAGAATACATATTCTGCTGCTGTTGGATGGAATGTTCTGTATCCGTCTAGTAGGTCTTTTTAATATAAAGTATATTCAGGTATAGTGTTTCTTTGATGTTTGGATGATGTATCCATGGTTAAAAGTTTGGTTTTGAAGTCATCTATTATTGTATTGTTTATTTCTCCCTTCAGATATGTTAGTATTTGCTTAATAAATTTAGGTGCCACAGTGTGAGGTACATATATATTTACAATTGCTAATATACTCTTGATTACTCAACCTTTTATTATTATATAGTGATTTTGTCTCTTTTTACAATTTTTGATTTGTCAGTTTTGTCTGGTATAAGTAGAGCTACCCCTCCTCTCTGAACTTACCTACAGCCTAACTATATGTCACTACCAAATATTATTATTAAATTTTAAGTTCCCAGAGGGTAGTTAAACTGCACATTTTTCTTTGTATATTACTGTGCATAGTTGCAATTATAAGAGTGTCTTTGACAATGATGGAAATGATACTGTTTTAATAATAGTTTTCCCTCTTTGTGGTTTTATTTCATGGTTAAAGAATATACTTCTACAGATATCATTTCTAAAACTGAACCGGTGAATATTTCTAAAAAATTTAGAAAGATGGGTAGAAAAGGTCACATATTATGTGCCAGTAATTAATTGCCACTCAGACTTCTGGTAGAACATGCTAATTTCTTTATTTGCCTTCCCTCCTCAGTACATCAAAGATGGGGCTAAGTTAGCATTGTTGGATAGAATTTCTTCCAGTTTTGGCAGGGCAGGGACATTTTTCTGTGATCTTGAGAAAACACATTGGTCAGTGAGACATAGGCCTAGCTTTTTGAACTGTCAACATGGGAAGTAGTTGCCTCCTATGAATATATTGGTCAGGGTCAATGATATTTGATGTTACCAGAACTCCCATGAAGACTCTTGTGATCAAAATGCACTTGCTTAGGAGTGAATAGAGAGAAACTTAAAATTTCTAGAGAGGAAACTTAAAGTACTCCGAAAGCATCTAAAATTGACATTCTGAATGTTATTCTGACCAACTCAGTCTTCCCTAGCTCCTCTATAAATAAAGAAAATTTAAGTTCCTGTAAAATGAATTTGTGTTTATTTTATTTTATTTATATCATTTGTGTATTTAGGAAATACCAATTTATTGTGACAGATTGAGTTTTAATTGAAAATAATCTCTGGAGGTCTAGCTGAAAGAATATGGTCTTCCACAGGTTACCATTCAGTTTCTTAGGTTCCACAGGATTAGAAATTCTCTAAATTTACTTTTTCAGGTTAAGAACTCAAGCTGTATTTAAGTCAAGAGAACTCCTTGCTGCTAAAGAGTTTACCAAACCCCGAGAGTTCAAACTGGATATGAATGGGGATGACTCTGGACCAAGGTAAACCTGACTGATGGGTGAAAGCAAGAACATGTAGGACACAGATATTAAGGCACAGATATTAAGGATATGTTTGGTATCTATTTATAGCTTTCTACAGGTCCAGGTTTCTGATAATAAGAATAAATACATTCTCACTATAAAATTTTTAAAAATATAGGAGAGTGTAAAGAAGAAAATAAAAATCATTCATGATCCTACCATTCAGAGATAATCCTTTGAATCTTCTCCCCTTTTCTTTCTTTCTTTTATAATAATATATCCTATACTGAGTAATGGGAGCTATGCTTATGAAGAATTTTAATTATGCTTTTTTTTCACTGAATCAGTATTTTCTGATACCATAATTTATGAAAAGTTGATACTAATTTATTCAACAAATATTTATTATCTGACATATTTTTCTATGTTGCCCTAGTATTGTATAATCCAGGCTTTTACTATTATAAATGTGCCTTGAAGAATATTTCTATGAATAAGTTTTTTACTTTATCTCTACCTGTGTCTTTGATATAGATTCTATAACTGAAACTACTAACTCAAAGTATATATGAATCCTTTTAAAATCCTTGATTCACATTATCCATTTGCTTTCCATAAAAGTTAAATCAGTTTTCACCACCAGAGCTGTGTTTGAGAATTCTCTTTTCATGAAATTTGAAGAATTTTTGGCCATTATTTTTTCAAACAATTTTTTTTGCCTCTTCTCTTTCTTGTTTCCTTTTTGTATTTCATTTACAGGTATATTAGGCCTTTAAGGAAGTCCCTGACTCTTCTAATTTTTTTTCTTTATTCTTCATAGTGGATAATTTTTATTGATATGTCTCAAATTCATCAACTCTTCTGTTATTTCCAGTCTGCTTTTTTTTTTTAAAGATTTTATTTATTTATTTGACAGAGAGAGAGAGAGAGATCACAAGTAGACAGAGAGGCAGGCAGAGAGAGAGGGGGAAGCAGGCTCCCTGCTTAGCAGAAAGCCCGATGCGGGGCTCGATCCCAGGACGCTGGGATCATGACCTGAGCCAAAGGCAGAGGCTTAACCCACTGAGCCACCCAGGCGCCCCTCCAGTCTGCTTTTAAGCCTGTAGAATGATTTATTTTTATTTAGATAATGGATTTTTTAGTTTTAGGCTTTCCATTTGGATCTTTGTTTAAAATTTCTATTTCTCTGATGAACTTTCCTTTTTTATTCATTACAAATATATTTTTCCTTTAAAATGCTTTTCTCCAGTTCCAACACCTGGATCATCTTGGGGTTTGTCTCACTGATCAACTTTTCTCTTGAGTATTGGTCATTTGTACATTCCTTTGTACATTTAGCAAATTTTTTTATTGTTTCCTAGTATCGTGAATGACTCTGGAATTCAATTATAATCCCTCTAAACAATGTTAACTTTTATATGGTAGCAAGTAGTTTACTTAACTGAATTCAAATTCCAAGCTCTGTTTCCCTTGAGCAACAGCGAAAATCGCTGCTGAGCTCTTTTAATTGGGGTAGATGTTTGAGTCTGCCTTATTTGCAGGTGGTTTAGGGGTCAGCCACAACTGGCAGGGTTGTTACACAGAATTTGAGGCTTTCAGTCTTTCTCTCTTACCTCTCCAGGATTTTTCCCTTTTCATGTGCTTTGGTCAGCTCAGACTCTGTCCTCTGGTTCTTTAAGACTGACCTTCAGCTGAAAGCCATTAAAAAAAAAGAAAAAAAAAAATTAAGAACTCTCCCAGTGCCAGTCTTTTTTCGAGTGCTGATCCTCTTCTAGTTTCTGCTTGTTTTCAATGACTCTTCAGTGCTTCAGGTTTGGTTTTTGTTTTGTTTTTGATTTTTCTTCCCAGGGTTTTAATTGTTAACTATGGTCCTATAGAAACTACTCATCCAGTGTAAAAAAAACTAAGAATTCTCATTTCAGACAGTTCTGCCATCTTTTAATTTTGGTAAAATACACATAATATAAAATGTACCATCTCAGCCATTTTTTTAGTGTACAGTTCAGTAGTACTAAGTATATTCACATTTTTATGCAACCCATCTCCAGAACTTATTTATCTTGCAAAATTGAATCCCCATACCCATCAAACTGCTCCACATTTCCTCTCCCTACCAGCACCTGGCAACCACCTTTCTACTGTCCGTTTCTATAAGTTTGATTACTCCATTACCTCATATAAGTGGAATCATATAGTATTTATCTTCTTATGACTTGCTGTAATTTATTTTTTATTTAATTTTTACTATTGATATCAAGCACATGGATAGTTTAAAAACCACTAGTTCAACAAGACTTATTCAAAATAGCAGCCTCCTCTACACTGGAGAAGCAGTACTCCCAATTTTCACTCTTCAGAGAGAAGAAGTTTTGACTGTTTTAGATGTTTCTTCCTTTATCTGTTTCTTCTAGCATTATGTCCATATTTCTGAACAACAGACTTCTGTAGGCATTGAGTATTAGCTTTCTTCTATGAAAGATGTGACTGTGACTTAGCTCTCACAGATAACCATCTGTTGGCTATCTCCCTCTCTCCTCGCTTTTCCTCACATTTCTTCCTTCTCCCCTCCTTCCTTTTCCACTTCCCCCCTAATATACATACCCACACACATGGGTGTGAAAATAATATTTCCCTTTTCCCTTCATTCTGTCCTTGCAATATAGCTATATCATAAGATGGTTACAATAAAATTGTATCTATTTTATACACAGCTGGTCCATGTACTATATGATTACTAAACTTAATTTCCATATAATTATTTTCTTTAGAACTTAGAAATACCTTACTTAATTTTCTGTGTACTCGTTGATTTGTTAATTCATTCAAATATTATAAAGTTTCCCGCCAGGTGTTAGACACATTCTAAACTTCGGGGGATGTAGCAATGCACAAAAGAAAAATTTCTGACCTTGCACAATTTACATTCTCACATCTTATAATTCCCAAACTCACCCAGAAAGTTTAATTCTCTGAATATATTTAAGCACATTAGTTATTCTATCATGTCTCCATTACATTCTTTTGCTGCTTTATTCCCTTCTTTCTTTTTTGTTTTTTTAAGATATTCCTCCTGGAGCCCTCTGTAATCCTGCTTATATATTTACTTGCTTCCTTATGGTACAAAAAATATATATATAAAATGCTGATAAGCTGGAAGAAGAAATTAACATATACCTATAATCTCATCATCTAAAGAAAATATGTAACTTCTAGATCTTATTTCTTTATGGTATATGATATGTATTATATTACATATTTTGTTTCAAATCCCACTTTTTAAAATTCAACTGTAATTAGCATACAGTGTCATATTTGTTTCAGGTATACAAATAATGATTCAACAATTTTGTACATCACTCAGTGCTCATCAGCGTAAGCGTTCTCTTGATCACTTCGATCTACTTCATCCATCCCCCTACCCACCTCCCCTGTGGTAACCATCAGTTTGTTCTGTATATTTAAGAGTCTGATTTTTGTTTGTCTCTTTTTTCTTTGTTTGGTTGGTTTACTCCTTAAATTTCACATCTGAGTGAAATCATATGGTATTTGTCTTTCTCTGTCTGACTTATTTCACTTAGCAATATAGAATACCCTCTAGTTCATCTGTGTTGTCATGAATGGCAAGATATCATTCTGACTGGGGCGAGTGGGTGGCTCAGTGGATTAAAGCTTCTGCCTTCAGCTCTGGGGGGTGATGCCAGGGTCCTGGGCTGGATCCCAACATCAGCCTGTCTACTGAGCAGAGAGTCCACTTCCCTTTCTCTCTCTGCCTACCTCTCTGCCTACTTGTGATTTCTGTCTGTCAAATAAACTTAAAAAAAAAGAAAAAAGATACCATTCTGACTGACTGATACTCCAGGGTGTGTGTGTGTGTGTGCGTGCGCATGTGTGTGTGTGCGCACGTGTGCCCACACACATCACATCTTTTTTTTTTTTTAATTCCAATATAGTTAACATACAGCGTTAGTTTCAGGTGTACGTTATAATGATTCAACAATTCTATACATTACTCAGTGCTTGTCAAGATAACTGTACTCTTAGTTCCCTTTACCTATTTTTACCCATTCCCCCATCCTTCTGTTGTATAGTTAAGAGTCTGGTTTGGGGTTTCTCTCTTTATTTTTCCTTTTCATTTGTTCTGTTTCTTAAATTCCACATATGAGTGAAATCATGTGGTATTTCTCTTCTTTGATGGACTTAGTTCACTTATCATAACACTTTCTAGATCCATCCATGTTGTTGTAAATGGCAAGTTTTAATTATTTTTTATGGCTAAGTAATACTCCATTGTACATATATACCACATCTTTTTCCATTCATTTATAGATGGACACTTGGGTTGCTTCCATATCTTGGCTATTGTAAGTAATGCTGCAATAAACACAGGAGTGTATGTGTCTTTTTGAATGGTGTTTTTGTTTTCTTGAGGTAGATGCCCAATACTGAAATTACTGGATCATATGGGAATTCTATTTTTAATATTTTGAAGAAATTCCAGGGGCACCTGGGTGGCTCAGTGGGTTAAGCCTCTGCCTTCAGCTCAGGTCCTGATCTCAGGGTCCTGGGATCGAGCCCCACATTGGGATCTCTGCTCAGCAGGGAGTCTGCTTCCCTCTCTCTCTCTCTCTCTGCCTGCCTCTCTGCCTACTTGTGATCTCTATCAAATAAATAAATAAAATCCTTAAAAAAAAAAAAAAAGAAAGAAAGAAATTCCAGACTGTTTTCTACAGTGGCTGTACCAATTTGCATTCCCACCAATGGTGGATGAGGGCCTTATTCTCTGCTTTTTAGCCTATACATATTATTTCTTATATATATATTTTTTTATTTTAGCCATTCTGACAGATGTATGTTGATATCTCATTGTGATTTTGATATCTCATTGTGATTTTGATTTCCATTTCCCTGATGTTTAGTGTTGAGGATCTTTTCAGGTGTCTGTTGGCCATATGTATGTCTTCTTTGGAAAAATGCCTATTCGGGTTCTCTCTCCAGTTTTTAATTGGATTATTCAGTTT